GGATGAATGAATGATGGATGATGGATGGATGGATGGATGGATGGATGGATGGATGGATGGATGGATGGATGGATGGATGGATGGATGGATGGATGGATGGATGGATGGATGGATGGATGGATAGATGGATGGATGGATGGATGGATGGATGGATGGATGGATGGATGGATGGATGGATGGATGGATGGATGGATGGATGGATGGATGGATGGATGGATGGATGGATGGATGGATTGATGGGCGAGCGGAAGAACCGATGGATAGAAATCCTTACCTTTAAAAACATGTTAATCAACCTCACCAGACCGCCACCTTCAATTAATTGTCAATATTCGCTGTGTTCTCAATTTAACGCAATAATGCGTACGATTGCTAACGCCTGTCTACACCCCAATCTCCTACCTACTCGACTTCCCACGTACTAGCAGGTTTATGGAGGTCGTGCGTAAACATGCCCGCTATACAATACAAACACTCCATATCTAACCTTCCCTTCCTCCCTCTCCCATCTAGCGAAAATTAATACTCGCTATTTAATGAAAGCAGTCCATCTCTAACCCTCCATCGCTTCCCCCTTCTCTCACATACAGAAAACATGCCCCTATATAATCCAAACACTCTATTTCTAACCCTCCATCGCTTCCCCCTTCTCTCACATACAGAAAACATGCCCTCTATATAATACAAACTCTCCCATCTCTAACCTCCTCTCCATCCTCTCTCTCCCCTTCCCCCACTCTCCCTCCCTCTTTTACCTGCAGGAAACATGCCCGCTATATAATACAAACACTCCATCTCTAACTCTCCCTCCCTCACTCACTCTCTCTCTCTCTCTCTTTTTCTCTCTCTCTCTCTCTCTCTCTCTCTTTCTTTCTCACCCTCCCTCTCTCTCATACTGAATATATACCCGCTATATAATACAAATATTCCATCTCTAGCCCTGCCTCTCTCCCTCCCTCTCTTTCTCTCTTCTACAGAAAACATGGCCCCTATATGATACAAACACTCTGTCTCTAACTCTCTCTCTCTCTCTCGCCTACAGGAAGCCGAAAGCTCTGACCTGCACCTACAGGAGAACATCCGTTGGGCCGACGCCTACGTTCTCGTCTACTCCGTCACGGACAAGTGCAGCTTCGACGAGTGCACGCGTCTCAAGTTCCTCATCACGCACATGCGTCGCCGACGCAAGCTCAGCTACGGCCACGCCGTCGTCCACCCGGTCGTCCTCGTCGGCAACAAGAGCGACCAGGTCGGCGACCGCATGGTCGGCTACGAGGACGGCCGCCGACGCTCCGTCGAGCTCGGCTGCAACTCGTTCCACGAGATCTCCGTGCGCGAATCAGGCGACGACGTGCGCGCCGTCTTCGCCGACGTCTACGAGCACTGGCGGGGTGGCAAGCGCACGGTGCGCATCTCTCGCGCCAACACCGTCGAGGAGCCGCCGACGCGCGCCAGCGTTACAGGCCTGCTAGCCAGCTTCCGCAGCAAGCAGACGACGGCGGCGTCGCCGACGCCAGCCGACGGTGCGAGGCTGGCGAGCGGCCTCCCTCGCGCTCGCCTCAACTCCAGCGTCGCCCACGCGCTGCCGCGGAATGGCGACACGCAGCCGGCGGCGACGTCAGTGGCGTCGCCACGGCGACGCATGAGCGTCAGTTTGCAGGGAACGTCCGACGGAGCTGACGCTTGAGCGCGTTCGTGCGCCGCCCGGCGGCGACGTTTTCTCACGTCACGCGCAGCGCCATCTATATTTTTAGCACTGATTTCGTATACGATCTGAAACGGTCACGTATTTATATAGTCGCGTCCCGCCTATAGTGATCTTTATGACGTATTAGAGACGGTGTGTCCACATTCTTTGATGACGTATTAGAGATCGACGGTGTGTCCACATTCTTTGATGACTTATTAGAGACGGTGAGTCCACGTTGTTTGATGACGTATTAGTGACGGTTAGTCCACGTCGTTTGATGACGTATTAGAGACGGTGAGTCCACGTTATTTGATGACGTATTAGAGACGGTGAGTCCACGTTCTTTGATGACGTATTAGAGACGGTGAGTCCGCGTTCTTTGATGACGTATTAGAGACAGTGAGTACACGTTCGACCCACTCAGATGGCTGCCGGAACACGTTAACTTCTCACCTAAGACGATCTACTGTGGCTACCGCGTTTTTTTCTTGCGTTGAAGACGTCCAGAAATTCCATGCATCGCTTAAGGATACTGTTAGGGTTACGGCCGGGTAACACTGTAAAGGGCATTGCAACATAACTGCTCATAAAATTCAATCTAACTCATATCCATTACATAACAGAGATGGGTAATTAAGTGACGGCAAAAATTGTGAATTTATATCCTATATAAAAAAGTTTTTGGCTATTTCTCAGAAACAGCAAAGAGAAGGGGCCTAAGCTTTTACCCATAAGTTGTTCATAATATGAGCTAAAAAAAGACCCTGGATTCTTTTTAAATGCTTTAATTTAGTAAATAAGTTGAAAAGATGTACGAAAATTTGTAGTGATTTTCAAAACGCAACAATTTCGTAAACAAAGAGCCATAACTTATAAAATATAACTTTTTTTTTAATCCAGGGAGCCTTTTTTCCTTTGATATGTTAGCATAGAAACGTAACAAAAAAATTTGGAATCGGAGTTTCGAGTTTCGAGAAATAGCGCTTGAATAATTACCTACTTTAGCACTTTTAACAACCGAGATATCAGCACTTTTCTAAATTTTCCATCATTGAACGCCTGTGTTAAGAATTGACTAATGCGGGAATTTGGAACTGTTTGGGAGGGTACATACATAATTTTACATATACATAGCTGCCCATGCGTGCGATCTATCAAATAAAGTGGGTATTGAAATTTCGACCGGAAATCACCTCCTAACCCTAACAGTATCCTTAACCCGGTTGCCAACGAGGACGGCCCAGAACACAGGCACTTGGCGCGTTTCAATAAAATATAATGCTAAATAAATACGAAATCTATTTACTACCAAAGTCTTAATGTTTCTCTACTTTCTTTCGCATATTATTGCCGACAATTTCCTGTAAATGCATATTACATTATACATATATATGCATATTATATATATATATTTCATATGTATATGCATGTATTTCATTTGCACGGCATTTGCAGGAAGTTGTCGGCAATAATAGGCGAAAGAGAGTAGAGAAACATTAAGACTTTGCTAGTAAATAGATTTCGTATTTAGGTCTATTTAGCATTATATTTTATTGAAACGCTCCAAGTGCCTGTGGCCCAGAATACTAACAGGACTGTCGGCAAATCAGTAGATAGTGCTGCATGCAAGATTATAAACTGGGCTCGCCTTTTATAGACATTCGTAGTTTATGATTGGCTCACAGCATGAACCGACAGCGTGGAGAGACCGGCTACCCCGGTTTAACCCGGCCGGCATGCAATTAACAAATTCCTCGGCGCGGGGGAGTTATTAATTTCGAGCGTGTCAAATCATTGCCACACACGCGCGCACACGCATACACGCGCACGTACGCACACACACGCACACACACACGCGCACACACGCGCACGCACGCGCGCACGCATGCACGCACACACACACGCGCACGCACGCATACACTACACGGATAATAAGGTCGCTGGATCGTGTTTCATTGCAATTAGCACGTGCGACGTCCGCCGCGTGCGTGGTGTGAAGCTTCCGGACTATCTCATACATGGCTCGCGCGGCCGCCCCGCCCAGCCAATCAATAATATTCTTACACTTCACGGCCGGGCTATTTACAGCGTACGTGCCGCGCGCTGTAACGCCAGACGGCAGCTAATATAGATGCAGGCGTCGCCACCGTCGCGTGGCCGACGTCGTAATGGCAGCTGTATCGTTGCGCCTCGGGTCATATCAGTGTGTATAATTGATGGTAGATGGATGGATGAATGGATGGATGGACGGATGGATAGATAGGTGCATGGGTAGGTGGATGGATGAATAAATAGATAGATTGACAGCCGTGAGGAAAAAATAATTATAGGGCCGAAATCACACTTTTTCAACTATTTAGTATGGTATGTGAATTGTTGTTTGCTTATGGGTGAAATTAATGATAGGTATAGGAGTACGTATCGGTACGTGTGACCACCCGATAGCGTGTATATATGCACGGCACTATTTTGCCGTCTTCGTCACTTATAACCCTAAAAGTACAGCACATACGCACACTTATACATATCGCACGGTTTGTACTGGGTCAGCAGTATATCTCGTCTATGTCCAGACACATGGACCGTTATATAGTTGATTGAATCGTTGTGTTTGTGTTAAACCTGAAAGTCACTAAAGCTAGTCACGAAAGCTACTCGCACAGAGCCCTCCCGGCTCCCACATTACGCACGCATAGTAAACCCGCAGCGGGTATAAGCTCGCGTGTGCAAGGCATTTTATCGTAAAAGCGTAAGATCCTCTCACCGCGTTTCCACATACCCTAGACCTAGAGCGTACGACAGCAGGCGCGACGTGCCCGTTTTCTATCGCTGACTGATCACTGCTAGTATCACGGCGTTGGATATTTTCTGCCGAGGCTTCGAGCGCTACTGTAATCTAGAGGAAATGGACCCGCAGTGCCGACGCAGTCTTGTTGCTGTTACCGATTAATCACCCAACGACGTGTGCAAGAAACGGAAGCTAGAATCGAACCATCTAGAACATACATATTAGAGCAACCGTACATCTTACAGAACGTATTAGAGAACATGGTTAGAGCAACGTTCTAAACCATATGAACACTGTCAAGTGTGCCGGCAAGACGTCCATAAACACAGAAACACAGAAACACTGTCAGTGGTGCACATTTCTGATGCGCGATTAATATAAAACATCGTTATTTTCATAAAACACCATTAGTCCATATCTCATTATCGAGTTATACCGTTTGTGCATGGGTATACCTTTCGATATCTCGTCGGAAAGTGAATAATTGTGCGCAAGAATGTAGGTGCTCTGGTAGGTGCATGTACTCAGTATTGTAGGCGTATAAATTCAACAAAGATAATATTGCTCTTGCTATATACTATAGGCATGTGAAATCGCAAATGTAATGCGCATATGTATTGATAGAATAGTATACGGTGGCTAGCCGTATTATGCTACGTTTTATTATGGCGTCGCTGATGTACTGTGGTCGTATATTGCTATATTTTCGTTTAACATGCGTGCGTGCGTGTGTGTGTGCGTGTGTTATTCTCCGTGAATAATAACTGTGTTTGTACTTGTGGGATGAAGCCGGTTTGGTCACGTGGCTACATCACGTGACCACATTGTTGCTGCCACTGACTCACGTGGCACCTGACACTTAGTGACGGTTTCACGTTATTAAAAGTTATTTTGGTTGTGCGCGCACGTCATTTGTGCCGCGAGCATTTTGTAAGTATTCGTAAGTTACAACTAAAATAGTAGTAGTGTATTACTTAAACGAAGTTTGGATGCGTGTGAATGTATCGTCTATATTATATCCTAGCTTAGTTTCTGTTTGCATTAATTTGCGACAGAACTATGTTACAATATCCGTTATATATACAGCACGTGTGGTTACGATTAAAATTTATTCTTTTAATGAAATAGAACGTGGTTTATTATTTTTGAGTTGGCTTGGATAATGGACATGAAGCCGTTTTCTTCCTGTCCAAATAGTCGGTTATCTAAAGATTTACTTCGTATAAACTGTCGCTAGCAAGCACAGAGACACGATAAAGTTGTCGTCAATTAATGTGTTTGTGAGTGGAAATAGTTTTGTGACAGCCGCCACCTCCTGCCATGTGTTGAGAAATTAACAGAAGCAGATATAATTGCCACCCTATGCCGTTATCGGTGCTGTATCTAAACCCGTTCATTTAATGTTTTTACATTTGTACAGTATACACATAGTTGTGTAAGCTCACAAATGAGCCATGTAAACATTTTTAGAAAGTTTTAACACAGTTTAAACAATATCTAGATACGACGACCAGACAAACGTAATCATGCATTTTTTAACTAATACTTGTTAGGCAACACAACGTTAAACGTATCGTGAAATAATGCGTAGCAAGGTATCAAAGAAAGCGAAGATGATTAGCGGAAGAAGAGAAGAGTTCAGAAGTATAGGTTGATGAGGAGGGGGGGGTAAGAAATGGAGGAGGTAAAGGGGTCGAGAAATGGTGATGGAGAATGGAGTAGTTGGAAAAGATGCAGAAGGGATGCGGAGTGTAGGAGAAAAGAGAAGGAGAGTATGCAGAGAGATGACAATGGACAAGGGAAACGGAGAAGAAAAAGAACGGGAGCGCATAGAACGACTGACGCGAGAGCTGAAGAAAATAGATCATTATAATTGGTAGGCGGGTCTCATAAAAGAATACCCACAAATATAAGGGAGGGTTATAAATTTAATAAGAGGCCAGTGGGGCGACGTGACTAATCGATTATGGCGGAGTGGGGCGAGGTAGGAAGGAAGAGGTGGTAGAATAGGAGGGAGGTAAAAAGGAATGAAATAGATACGTAGGGTGGTTATAGTTGGAGGTAGGAGGAGAGGAAAAAAGTAAGACCGAGATAGTGTGTGTGGAGGAACGGAAAAAGTATGGATAAAGTAGAGAGGCGACAAGGGCAAGATCGAGCTAAATTGAGGATGAATAAAGGCGAAGCGCGGAGAGGGGGATTAAGTAGGAGAGAGATAAATATCTCATCATGGTTATCATATTTATCGTAAATAATAAAATTATGGATTATAAAATATGATTTATAAATTTAGTTAATAATCTAAATATCTTTAGTTAGTTACTTGATGGAAATGATAAAATGTAATGCTAATATATTAAGAAAGCTGAATCATCTCCCTCTCTCTCTCTCTCTCTCTCTTTCTCTCTCTGTGTCTCGGCCTTTCTCTCTATCTCTCTCTCTCTATTTCTCTCTCTCTCTCTT